CTTAAACATTTAACATAATTATTTAAATAATCCAACTAATTATTTTAAAATCTAGCTAAATTTTTAGATATTTCAGCAAAACTGATCATTTTGTGTGTGCGCGTGTGTGAGTGTGTCTCGTGTACTAATAGCGAATTCGGTTCGGCGCACTAGTATACGCACTGATGCACATTAAAGCTGTTATACGCTGATCTAATCCGTGAGTGTAAAAATAAAACACAAATATTTCGAATTATAAAGTATATTGAAGATTTTCACGGTTTAAACCGCGGTTTAAATTGCATAAATATTCCATATTTATGCAATTAAATACACATTGACGTTAATTGTAACAATAGCTTAAATGTGCACCAACGCGAGCACTGAATTTGGTTGGTGCGTCCAACCAAATTCGCTATAAGATTTATTAATGTACTTCCGAAATCTAAAAATGATATTTTTGATCAAACGCATTGTATCTTTCACACATTTCAGAAGTACTAATAAAGTATCAAATGAGCCTATATATTGTAATATTTGTCAATTCGCAATTGATTGCACATCTCTTTCGAGGTGCGTACTATACACAACTTTTTCCTCTAAAAATCGCAGCTTAAAATACTGGAAAATGTCATTTCAATGCAATTCGTACGATAGAAAATATCTATCGTACGAATTACACTAATCGATCGATCTGACATATACAGGGTGTCCCGAAATTTGCGAATCAAAATACTTTAGCAAGAAAAATGGATTAATAAAAAAAAGTTATAAAAAATGAATATTTCATAAGTTATTTTACGTCACAAAATATGTCCGAAATAAAATATGAAATTCATAAATTATGGATTTTTATAATAATCTTGAAAAATTAAGTAAGACTATTGTTTGTAAACTTATATAATATTTCAAGCTAGTAATTTTTGAAATTGAAATATAAGGGCTTAAAGCTAATCAATTAAAGATTATGTTCAGATGGTCATCTATCATGCGGTCATTAATACTACTGTACGCGACTTATGAACATGCAGTGACTATGTAGAGATAATTTGAAATTGGCAAGCTTTAAACTCTTAATCCCCAAAATTATCATTTGAAATAAAAAATTACAAATAACTATTTTACGTAATTTTTAAAAGAACTTTCTTGCCATAGTATTTTGATTCGCAAATTCCGAAACTCTGTGTGTGTGTGTGTGTGTGTGTG